ATGTAAACCTATTGCTGCTAAAACCCATTTATCAGCCATACCCAGAAACCGGCAGAAGCGGTGTAGTTTCAAATAGCGTTGGTTACCACGCGCACGGGGAGGCATCGAGTCCTGTAGTATGTAGGCCGTAGTCAATCCAAGCTTTCCACCCTCCGGGCTCGGCTAGACAAGGGTAGGAACACTATCGAACACCGGCTGGCCCCGAGAGCAACGTATAGTAAATTAATCGCATTCAAATTGCCATCACGTTTTTGAATGGAAATAGAATGTGTGGCGCATCCCAAAACCTCAAATGCTTTAACGTTACCCTTTTCCCAGCAGCCCAACCCGTGAGCCTTTCTATTTTTTCCACTCTCACACCGAAACTAGGCTAGGTCCAAGCAATCCAGCGCTAAATGGAATCCGTGTCCTCTTTGACTACTGTTCCAGCAAATGGAATGCACTCGACACCTTTTAGGTCATCGTTTCACACTTTTCTTTGTTCGCCGTCAATTCGCAACATCTACCGCACAACAATTGACCATTTCTTTTCCAATCCATCTCAATTATCCTTACTCACTACCGTAACCTTTTTGCAGGACAAGTGCGACCCAACCCCATATCCAACTAAAGATGTGGAGAAAGGTGTAACTGTGCACGGCGTTTTTGTGCTACGACCATTTCAACCACCACCTTACCCTGAAGAATTTCAGCCCTTTCCGCCATAGTCGCCGATATGAACGGAAAAACCACAAACGCTTCCGAAGAGGGAGCAAAATGGTCCCCTTTGCCTTTCTTCAATGTTAACGAGAAGCTCATGCCACATTGCCGACCCCTCATGGAGTCGGTTCTTCTTTGAGATGTCGCCCAAGAAAAAAAACCCCGCCGGAGCAATATGACAGCGATAATTCATCGGAATGAAAAGCATCCACACTGCGCAATCAACGCACAGCTAATGGGAAAACCCACAGCAAAAAGTTATAAACGACCACGAAGAGCCGATGGAATAAAAAAGAATATCAAGGTGACCTCTGCTATCACTCCACTCTTAATAATTCAGCAAAACCTTTCCATTCACTAGCATTTTCTGAATAGAGAAAGAAAACAACCGATGCAGCGCCAGAAGAATACCCCCTTGAACATCTTAATCTTCTCACGTCCAAAGTACCTCCTCGTTCCCAAAAACGTAATAACTTCGTATAGCGAGATCTTGTGCATAGAACGGAAGAATTCTACGTTCACTCGACAGGTTTCAGACGGATATCCTTCAAAACTACGGTGGACCGTTTCCCAGATCTCAGACCCTTCTCTGGTACAACCAAGTGTTACCAGGACGGATCAAATACAACCCCTATCGTGGATTCCAAAAGCGGAAGTGGTGTAGTGGCAAGTGGTGTTGCTTACAATGCGCGCGGTTCGGGGATCGAAACCTGAGTCATGCGTCGGCCGGGTCAGTCAGCCTTCATCCCTCCGGAGCCGGTGAAATGGTACCGTAGTGCCGCCATCCCAACAAAGGGAATTAATCCGACGACACTGATGCTTTCCTTCACCCTATCCGGGATTTCGGACCTACACACGTGTTTGATCCTTCAAGCCGATGGCACATATAAGCGCTGTTACGGCTCAACTGCGCGAAAGATTCCTTCCAACGAGGTCTGTTCGCCATGAAGTATCACTGAAAAAGGTCAACAACATCAGCCCTTACACTCCAGAACAATATAAGACTGCTTCTTGAACATCTGGCAAAGAAATTAATCGAGAAGTGAGAACGGCGCATCTTCTTTGTACCGGAGATTACTGACTGAGTGAACAGCTGTTTCTGGCTTGTTTGCGGACGTACCATCGCCACAACTGTCAAGAAAATCCCTGGTGGAAAATTCTATTTTTCCAACTCTTTGGAATTGTGCCCACTTTTCGAGTCTTCTTTTATTTCATGTTATTTAAGATTTTTTCAAAGCCGTTTGATGGGCCGTTATTGAAGTTTTTAATTTTTTGTGGTTGTGTGAATATTCTAGAGGATAATTCGAGGCGCTATCGCAAGACACGGGGGCATTGTGGGGCAATGCATTCAAAACCGTGTAAAAACTTTTTTTTCTCGTTGAAAACGGGACTAAGCCATATGCTACGCAGGTGGAGACTCCAATGTGGTGATGGTGAGCAAATTTCATTCTTCTCGGAATTCCTGCCCTTTCTGGATTTCTCACCCCAGAGGATGCCCCGTCTGTTGCGACAGCGCCACTTTTGACGCTAAATGCTGCTGCAATTGTAAAAAAAATCATAGATTCATTTTAAACCGGTACAACAATCGTGGCGATGACTGGAACACAACCAGAAAAATAAAGCCAGCAGTTTCTCTAAACCCCCATCTCAACAAAATAATTTCACCATGCAGGTTCGCGGTTCACCAACGGAATCAAACATCCCGCACTCTGGAAGAGGACACTTTTCACTTAGGGTGCGCTGCCCCTCATTTCGGTCACATACCCTATTTGTTCAATTTGGGAGACCTCTAGGCTAACCACCAGATGAGTTAGCCGACGCAGCGGAGGTTCCTAGCCAATGACCGCAATATTACACCACAATGGAGCGCCCTCGCGTGGCCATCGTTCTAACAAGATCATCACACTATTTGCAACATTATCAGGTCCCAGCATCACACACTGCGCTCTATTCACCCTTCGACGACGACGACGGCACCGGGCGCTGATTGACCAACACAACGAATTATCAACCTTCGCACTACCCTCCCCTTCACGCTATCGATCCATTCGTTTCCAGATAGCAATTAGACAATGCCCAACGATACCAGTTCTCAGACCACGCAAACAGATCCTTTTTCTGCAGAAAGTAGAAACCTGGAGGGAAAATATTCTAGGAACCACCTAAGCAAAATAGTCGCAATAACAGAGAAAAGGTTACAGAAATAACTTTCTCAGATCCACCATCTGAGTTGTGAGAACCCAGATGTAAGCCATGTAGCGCTACTAGCGAACTGTACAGTGTTAAAGAGTGTGCGTGCCGTTGATGGACTCGCTCTCAGTCATGGGTTGGTCCAAATCTCAATGAAAAATTATGGATGAATGGAACTGTTGTGATAAGAAAAAGGAGTTGTTATAAAAAACTATTGACTCAATGGGGACGGTAGCCAGTATCGTTCAGTGTGAAAAATCACTCTCCGATTTTATAAGTGGCTTTTCCCATTTTGAGGTAATCTCTCAGAAATCCAGTTCGGGCAGATTAGAATCATCAATATAACGGTCATAGCACTATGGACCATCACCGTTCTAACGAAATATATCACGATCAAAAAGGAAACCTTCATAACATCGTCGGTAGAAACCACTCTCAACATCTATAATAGCTTTCTCAAATTCTTACAGAAACCAGTGAGTTAGATACGTATCGATCAACATCCCACATAGAATCACCAAAAACTGTCAAAAGCCACTACCAACCATCACCGCTCCGAAAGCACTTTTTCACTTAGCCCTCGGTAAAAACTGCCTCAAAACCCCCAGTCTCGTCAACCACGAGTATGTCCGGCTTATCAACGGACGAGATCACTCTGATTAGTCATTTCCACTTCGCTCAGCGCATCGACTCGTCGGCGCCATCACCACTCTGCACGATCATCGATAACCTTTTTTGTGGCCGCAAATCTTGAAACGCTTGCCGAAAAACGTTTATGGTCGACAGAACACCAGCCATGCGCACGAGGACAAACTGCGGATGGCCAAAGTATCCTTCGACACCAATTTCAACACACTTCACTAGCTACTGTATTGATTTTCATAACATAGAAACTTGCAGAAAATGCCTTCTTTTCTTTCACGTTCAACTATAAAAGGGAGACATAATCGCGTAATCGACTAAAACTTGTTCCAGATGATGACACAAACTGTGGGAGTTTAATACTTCTAAAACTCCGCGGTTGAACTGAAAATCAACACAAAGGTAGAGAATAATCAGATCTAACAGGAAGAAGGTCAACCCAAGAGCTTTTCAAAGTGGTCTGATGGTATCAAGTAACTGAGGTATGTTTTGGGGGAGTTCAGCAGAGTCAAGAGTAGGTTGAGATAGGTAGCTTTAAGAATGGGACCACTCAGGTGTCACACCTGGCCTGGGGACAGCACCAAACTACTCCATACGACTGCACAAAATGAACCGGTACAAAGAAACTTCGAGGATCCAGGCATGTACAAACGAAACCGGTATAGCGGTTTCAAGCGAACATGCCCTTCTTGTATGAAAGACCTTTCTGGAATATCTGCAGATCGCCACTACCTTCATAGAGCCCTACGCTAGTCTCTCTACAATGACAAAATCACGAAAATTCCCTCACAACACCCTACCCTATCCAAAGCGTTCTTCAATTTCTCCAGAACAAAAAATTTCATCGAGCAAACATGGTAAAGGAAAAGTTGGAAATACGGTAAATAATCGCCAAAAACTCCTTGGATCCTTTGAGAATAAGAAAATCTTGAAAGCTCTTCAAGCGCCCTTCTCGATCCGCTATTAACAAATATGACTTTCCCTAGGCTCATTGTGGATTTTACAAATTGGACCTGCCCTCCATAAAAAAAAAAAAAAAAAAAAAAAAAAAAAAAAAAAAAAAAAAAAAAAAAAAAAAAAAAAAAAAAAAAAAAAAAAAAAAAAAAAAAAAAAAAAAAAAAAAAAAAAAAAAAAAAAAAAAAAAAAAAAAAGAAAATACACAAACCCTCCTCCCCATCCAAATCAAACCATAACTTCTACTGCATAATCTCCCTATCACTGCTAGAATGTCTGCCTGGTATGTAGAACGTCACAAACACTTCTTGCTATCACATCTGAACATTGCTCGCAACCGGACGTCATCAGATTCTACCGTAATTTCCCATTTCATGACATTTTCCAGCGACATAACAGATCTTCTTTTTGAGCCCGACGAAGGGCAGAAGAAAACAATAGGATCGCGCATTTCCGGATTCTGCATTCTTTGCCCTAGATATAGAAGCGCATCAATTATCCTCAGCAGTCACACATCATATTACGCCAGATGTTGTTTCGTGAATGGAGCGAATAGACTCGACTCCACCTCTGCACTCCACGATGAGGGGCGTCGGTGCTGGGGCTGTTGGAACGTTGTCGACGGCCTTCTCATCAGCCTTCATAAAACAAGATAAACTGCCTACACCTGCTCAGATCATAACCGCTATCAAAAAACCAGTTTTGCCCTGAACTTGATAACAAGAAACCTCAGTCATCACTAAACACAAATGTTGCTAGAGGCTACTTACGTGCGACCTAATTGTGCTATCCTCAAAAAACCACTCACTCTGACTTCAATTTTTTCGGACATAATTAACCGACGAAAGACCAGGTTAGTCGACGAACAAAATAGCCATTTGTGAAGGTTCGCGAAGGAAGGATCAAAGTGGCTCTGGGCCAAAGTAGCGATATTTAACCATCTTATAGCGCCACAATCATCTACACAACTATGGCGCTAGAACAAACGGGCCACCAAGCCTAGAGCCTAAACAACCAATACTCCATACCTCTCCTTCATTTCTCAGTCTGTTGAAACGGAATCATCTGCTGACCTTACAATGGCTCGTGAAGCACTTACACCTGGATTTGATGGAGATAAAAATCGAAAAAAAAACAATAACCGGATCGTTTTTCCTCTTTCTCCATAAAATCTTATGGTAACCGAACCGGTGAAAAGCAATCGCTAAGAAGTAGATATCCCAACAAGACAACTGCAATTCCGCCTATCACTGGCTTAGCGCTGCTTTGCATTTCATTGCTTTCCTTCAAATGAGTGGGACTAATCGATGCCCCCGCCATCATCGAACGGGTTCGCCGCTATTCTCTCAACATGAAGAAATAAGCTTATCAGATTTTACCACTTCTTTTCATTGAACGTTCTCTCCGTCCCTTTCTCACCCAAAACATCCCAATCAGGGTCGCACAAACAAACCGCTGCGCAGTCGCTGCAAGCTAATTAACAAATCACATCCCCATACCTCTCCCACAAATTATTCACTAGGGTCAAGGTGGGTGTGCGACTGCTCTCCAAAACAATCCATCGTTCAGCCATCACTTGTCCACCTCATTATATTGTCTACGGAAGAATGAACGAGCTCTAATACGTGAGCGCTCGATAATTAGAGGCTCTTAAGAGGTGTGAACCTCTAGATTGACAAGCGCTTACACTTTGAGGAAATCCCTCGCTTCGTCGATGCCCATGAATGGTCACATATGCCATATGGAGAACGCGAATTTCACCTCTACACATCCATCTCTTCGCCGCGTATTAACCTCATTCGTCAACCGCAACACAATAACTAAACACTTGAGCGGTAACCGCTTGACCTGATCGCGCCATAACTTTACCATACCCGCGAATGTTCAACCTTCTTTCGCTGCGTCCCTTATCTGTCACCGTCCGCAAGACCACTACACCCACCTGTGTGCACAGAGCGGAAGCCCGCGATGTAAAAACTATGCGAAACCTCTTACGCAGATTGCCAATGAAAAATTCACGGCCGCGAACGAGCAACCACCCGTTTGCCAAAAGTTCTCGCAAAACTACAAAAAATACGCAAAACAGTTCGCTCCTTCCCTCACTGAAACCACACGACCCTCACTGCCAAATGGAAAATTACGGAAAATATCAAGCCCTGGGGAGTAATTGAGAGCAGTAGTACTTCCGTGGGGGTTTGAATCTACCTGTTGCGAAGAGAACGACCAATGACTGGAAATCGGAATGTAGAGTTCCGAACGGCTATCCTAACCCCATATTTATTTACCGAGAACCAGAATTGTAGAGAACTTAATCACGTTCAAAAAACCACCAGTATGCGGAGCCAAAATCATATTTTCATATCAACCTTTATATGCTAACCCATCTACCAAGGTTGGTACATTCTATTGCCTCCCTGTTCCCCATTCAAGGTACTATTGAAGTAGCATACAACTTCGAAAAGCCCTAAAGCCTAATGTGACATCATAAACGGGACGAACCCCCATAATCGACTGTCAATACACCATGGAGTCATCATTCCCCATTTGATTTGCTGCATTACCCATGTCCTGCCTCTTCCCATTTCAGACGATAAGCAGGTTTCGATGCGTCAGATTAGATCATACGTTATGTATGACGCTGGCTCCAGGGGGTCGAATTCAATGCTCATTAGCGTTTCCCAACACCAGTTCACATCAGGACCTTCGTCAGAGATAGTCTACCTTTCAACGCCTTTCTCAACCTCGTCCTCAGACCCGTCGCCGTTTTTCAAAGCGGTTTAGTCGGGATTTCTGGGTCCTAATCCACTGGGGGCCACTGGCATTGGTCGACGTGAAGAGAGGTGCGAATGGTCTCCTCACTCAGCGGGAGGTCTGCAAAACGGGCTCACGCTCAAGGATACAGTCGCTGCCGTGGGAGGCTTGACAGGTGGAGGAATCTGCATGAGAAGTGTCCGGATACGCCACATCACAACAAACAAAGATAACTGTTGATGACGTGAAGATGATCCGAAGTTACGGGCATAAACCCACCATAGAACGGACTCTCGACACTAGAAACGAGATTTTGAAGAAGTCTCGGGACAGTTTTTTCGTCGCACGAGAACTCGAAACGCATTCACAGACAAGTGCCTGATGTGGGTGTACGAAACCAATTCGAATCAACAACTCTATCGACTCTCACGCTCCCATTCAAAATTCAAGGGAAAGCGGCCAGTCAAAACCTTTTTCATAGCACGACTGGAGTAAAAACACCTTTTCAGCAAGCGAATGACTCAGAGCCTGGCGCCTAAATGGTCAGCCGTCAGTCGGACTCTCAATAACTTGACAGAATGGGCAATAAACATGCGAACACGTAGTATGAGGAGTATGACAACCGCTCATATGTTTGAGTTAGAGCAGTTAGAAACCAGTTAGAAGAGATTCACAGAAAATCACTAGAGAACTCAACACCGAAAATGAATACAAAGAAATACAAAAAATCGAAGGAAAGGATTAAAATAAAAAAGCCGATCATACCTCCTTTGCACTGATCTGAATCATCCATCGGTCCCGTTACAGCTTCTACTCGCACGGAAAGATCAGACGAATGCAAATCGTAGAGATAGTTAACGCCGGCGACATACAGCCGCGTGTTTGATGGATCCACAACCTGAATACAAATACTTCATTTGCATTCACACCTCGAAATTTCACAAATTTTTTAACTACCAAGTAGTCCAACCCTAAATTGAAAGAACTTTGAAACTGGATGATTCACTCAGTTCAACGCAAAGGGAAGTCCAAAACGATCAGTGTGAGAGAAGCTTCTCACTAAGCGATATAAAATTCATCTGAAGGTCATTCGGAGAAGAACAGAGGCACCAAAGGCGACTCGTATAAAAAACTGTTCTCACTGCCCAAAAAACCTTCGAAGATACGATTAGAATAGTTACTTTCCAATTAACTACTTGCCCGTTCGAGATGACGATCTCATTCTTTGGCTCTAATTAAAAAGAGCTTCGGATCTCTTAGATCTTGGACAGACCAGGAAGATTACAACCAGTCTAGTGGTTACGCCACCGCCAGACCCAGCATAAGGCATTACGCAATTCAATTAGCAACCATCCATCCCTTTACTACCAAACGAGCTCTAAGTAAGCCAATCCCATTTCACTTTAAGGAACCTATTTCAAAATCCGTAGAATTTCGAGTCATACTTCTAATTATTACACTTTCGATTTCAATTTCAGCACCCAACAATGACCCGCCATAGTTTGAGCACGGGATTACCGGGTTAAGCCGCTCGGACATGTATTACACATCGAACGTTCAGCGGCCGGAGGAGTGGACACCAAACAGTAGCAAAGATCGCCTACTATCGCGAAGATAATCAATTTTAACAAATCAAAGATTGCCTGGTATCA